GTCATTGTACTCGGGACCGACACCCCTCTCCCAACATCCCTTGAAGATCAAGATGTCGTCCTTGTACCCCTTGTCCGAGTCAGGAAGATGGGTTACAAGGTACATAGAGGGGTCCCTGGCTTTGAGGTAGAAATGTTGGTGGGGCATGACTCTTAGGAGGGAGTAACAGAAAAGAAGATCATTGAGCCCAATATTCACCCCGAGGCGCCTATTGAGCTCTAGGACCCCCATAATTATCCGAAAGACGTTGAGGCAGCATTGCCCGGGGAAGAGACGGAAGCGAGACAGAAACTGAAGAAGCAGGGGGGGTAAGGGAAACCTAATGCCACCCTCTATGATGGCCTTGGTATAAAAAGGCATGGCATCCGCGGCCCCGAAGGTATGAGAGTTCAACAAAGGGTTAAAGCCCACTACATCCACGCTCGGAGGGATACCATACTTCGCCCTGAACCTATCAATCTGTGCCTCGCCTGTCACCTTGTACTTCCCTGACCCCGAGGGACCAGCCGATGGATTCTCGGGAACAGGGCGACGACAAGGCATCTCTAAAAAGAAAGGGAAGAAAAAGGTGTTCTCTATCGAAAACCCGAGGGAGTTCCCCGAGGGTTTAAATCAAGACGTACCGACCGGATGACACCACTGTTCAAATCGAAAAACAAGAAGGCTAGGAGGACGATAAAGAAGAAGGTTGTGAAACTCACCAGAAGACGTCGGAAACGGAGTTTTTTCAGGAAAAACTTTGAAAAATGACTCGCACCGGAAGGACCAGGAGTCAACAATGGGTTTTTTCTGGCTGAGGTTTTAAAAGAAGGTGCTGTCAACGATGGCTGAGGAAACAAAAACTCCGGCGAGCAGATCAGAAAGGGCGTATTCTGGGTCAGAGATCGGAATGGCAAAACGAAGGAAACCGGAGAAGAACCCCCTTTATATAGGGGGGAAAACTGTCATCATTGGGCGGGAGAACCAAAAAANTTATTTAAGTTAACTCTATTAATGAAAAAAGTATTCTACTTTTGCAAAACCCAAATATTGGAGCAGGAGGTTGGGCCCCTTGAAGAGCCAATTTTCTCTCAGATTTTTAGAGGGGTGAAATTAGAAATGTTTTCTATTAAAAAAAAAAAAAAATTAGAAATGTTAATAAGAAATAAAAGAGGAATCAAACTGCCAAGAAATTAATTCCATCTGATGGGATATTTTTGAGAAAGAATAGGGATCTCTCACGTGTCCTCGACACCGAAGACAACTCCAGCATACTGGTGAAGACACGTGTCCTTGACATCGAGGATACCTTCAACTCTCTAGTGACAACACGTGTCATCGGCGCCAAAGACACATCCATCACTCTAGTCAAGACACATGTGTCCCCTGCGTGGTTAGGTCCAAAAGACTATTTTTTAGACACGTCACCATTGCTCCNGAGTTAAAAGGATAAGCTAATAACTCCAAATTTTGCCCGACAGTTGTGTAAGCTAAGGGACGTGGGCATAATCAATGTTATCAAGTGAAGTGATATTTTTTAGGCTTTTCCATCAGTTTAGTTGAGGAAGAAACCACGCAGTTTCCTTGGAAAATGTCCGTATGTAGGAAAAAGTAGTCAGGCTGCACCGCACGTACGTACGTACGTACTGGCGCCAGAAATTTCTTGCCCGTCGGTTTGTACCTACGTCTGTGTCTACACATCACAGTCCCTAATTTAAGTCCCAACGGCCATTGTATTTTTGTTTGATTAAGTCTTCAATCGCAGCAAGCAACATTTATTTGTGATTGGGATGCCTGCAAAACATAATTATAGTAATAATAATAAGGCTCTTAACAACCATCAATCAAAACGCAGAGCAACCAATTCATCCACTTCTACCCAGAATACGAAGAAACTTCATCCACCAGCCAAAGTTCTCTCTACAGACTGATACTTGTTTCATCAATCTAGGGAGACGGGACGCCATAAGCATACACCCCTACCCTGTCATGTATCCAGAATCCTCTCCAACCTCTGCATGTGTCAGCACACACAAATAGAAGAATTAGGGTGAATATTGTCCAGCTGTGGGAAAGTTTATCATGTGCAGAGAAGAATTGTTAGTGGAGGAACTGTTAATTAGTTAATTGCTTAGTTAGTGGAGTCCTTAAATTATGTTCCTATAAGTCAGTTATTTCAGTTGTTGGGTTTAGTGGGTCAGTTATCCACTTTTATTTAAGTTAACTCTATTAATGAAAAAAGTATTCTACTTTTGCAAAACCCAAATATTGGAGCAGGAGGTTGGGCCCCTTGAAGAGCCAATTTTCTCTCAGATTTTTAGAGGGGTGAAATTAGAAATGTTTTNGTTATTTCAATTGTTGGGTTTAGTGGGTCAGTTATCCACTTTTATTTAAGTTAACTCTATTAATGAAAAAAGTATTCTACTTTTGCAAAACCCAAATATTGGAGCAGGAGGTTGGGCCCCTTGAAGAGCCAATTTTCTCTCAGATTTTTAGAGGGGTGAAATTAGAAATGTTTTCTATTCAAAAAAAAAAAATTAGAAATGTTAATAAGAAATAAAAGAGGAATCAAACTGCCAAGAAATTAATTCCATCTGATGGGATATTTTTGAGAAAGAATAGGGATCTCTCACGTGTCCTCGACACCGAGGACAACTCCAACATACTGGTGAAGACACGTGTCCTTGACATCGAGGATACCTTCAACTCTCTAGTGACAACACGTGTCATCGGCGCCAAAGACACATCCATCACTCTAGTCAAGACACATGTGTCCCCTGCGTGGTTAGGTCCAAAAGACTATTTTTTAGACACGTCACCATTGCTCCAAGGCGGATTATTAACGGTTGCAATCTGTTGAGGTCAGAGTCAGACAATGAGTCATTTATTTGCCTTCCCAATGAAGTAAGAATAACATAATGGACAAGATCAGCAACCAAATGGAGTTAAACACATGGCAAAATGTACAGGAATAGGGATAAATTGACAATAATACCCTTGCTAGCATGCAACCATCCCATAAGAACATCTAATGATCCTCATGAGGATAAGACGTTTTTACCATCCAAATGACCTTGGAGGAAGGACATTTAATGCTCGAGAGCTAAGCATTTAATGCTTATTGGTCTCCAATGCAAGACAGGAGGCGTTTCTGCCCAAGGACTAGGCACCACCGCCCGCTACCTCCCAAAAAAGTCAATGGATGAGGATCTTACCTTAAAGGAACCCATTGGTCAGCAATGATGACTTTCATAGAATGTATAAATAGTATTAAAAAATGTGAAGTAAAGGTACGAAAACCTAAATCTCATAACATATACAGTGTTTTTCCTCCTATCTCTCGCAGACTAGCTTGACCATCGGAGGAGATACATCGAAAAACACTCCGACGCATTTCTAACTCTTCTTTTTAGTGTTAGGAAGCATCTTCAGCTTGCCAAATTTGATCGGATAGTTGAAAAAGCAATTCATCACCACTCCTTAGACCTTCTTTGACATTCCTTTGTCCCGAGACTGTCCAAAATATGAGAGAGAGAGAGAGAGAGAGTGGTTTGACTTTGGTTATCGGTTGCGAGTGAGTGATGACTGACGGGGCGAATAGATTATGCTTGACATGGTGATCGAGATTCTGCTCCACCTACCAATAATACACCGCTAGACTATCGAGAGGGAGAAAAATCTAAAAAAATCTAAAGTGAAGTTCTTGTTCTATTCTTACCATGATGGAGTTTTGTAGTCGGGGATTTTCTCTTTTTTAAAAGGGTTAGTTACAAATTACACCCTGAAAGATCGTTTGAATCTCAATTTACACCATCAAAGATAAAAAATCTCAATTTGTACCATCAAAAATAAAAATTTGTATAAATGTGCACCCCAAAAAATAAAAAATCTCAATTTACACCCTCAAAGATAGAATTTTGTATCAATGTGCACATAAAACTAAATTGATAAATTATACCTAAATCCCCTCATGCTTGTCACTTAATTATTTGGACCCTTCACATTTAAAATATAACTCTTACATTTCATGATGTTTGTACACGTGTAACACTTAACCTATTTTTGTTAATATCTGTTAATATAACCGTTAAAAAATATGATTTTATCATAATAAAAAATTATTATTTCATATTACCCTTTATTGTATAGGTCTAATATACTCTAAAGTTCAAAATTAAACTTACTATTTGAATGTCTAATAGAATAAAGGGTTGCACATTGAGTAATATATTGTATTGGATATAAAAAAATATTATATAAATATCTACATTCTATTGGATATTTAAATAGTAAGCTTTATTTTAAACTTTATAGTATATCGAACCAATAAAATAAAGGGTAATATGAAATTATAATTTTTTATTAAGATAAAATCATATTTTTTAAAAGTTATATTAACAAATATCAATGAAAAGGGATTACGTGTTACACATGCACAAACGTTATGAGATGTAGGAGTAATATTCTAAATATGAAGAGGTCCAAATAATTAAGTGACAAGTATTAAAAGATCTGTGTATAATTTATCAATTTAATTTTAGGTACATTGATACAAATTTTTATATTTAAGATTGCAATTTGAGAATTTTTTATTTTTTGGGGTGTACATGATACAAATTTTTATCTTTGAGGGTGAAAATTAAAATTTTTGATCTTTGAAGGTATAAATTAAAATTCAAACTATCTTTCAAGATACAACTTACAATTAATCCTTTTTAAAAACTTGCAAATTTTAAATACCTTTCAAAAACTCCCTCCTCTTTAATCTGGCCTGGCCACCCAGTTCTTGAATTCACTCCAAAGAGAAGAGAGAGAGAGAGAAATGGAATTTGATGACTGGGATTTGAGCGCCGAGGAACTTGACTCTCTCGAAAGAGATGCCCTCAAGCAGATCTCTCTGCGCAATTCATCTTATTTTGATGCCACTACTAGTACTCCTACTTCTACTACTTGTTCCTCATCCACAATTCCTTCTCATCAACAACCATCTCATGAGTCGACTACTCATTCTTCACGGCGTCAACTCCTCATCCCCCCTGCCAACCCAATCACACACTGTCCTCCCTACAACAAGGTCAGGCTTTTGCTCGTTATCATTATTATCGCTTGTTTATGGGTTTGATTACTTACTGGGCCTTCCTTCATTTCTTAGGGTTCTGTACGTGTGTGTGTATGTAAATATATGCCTGGACTCAGAATTCGTGTATAAAAATTGCTCAGCACATCTTCTGCAAATGAGCATCGCCACTTCTTGTGATTTCGGAAACCTAATTGGTAATTTGGATGCATGAAATTTAACCCGAGTCTTTAGCGGCATCAAATGGATAACCTAGAGGGGCTTACTATTAGGATTATTGGCATGTCGATGTCTCTAATTCACGTAATTTTGCTGTTTTGCCAACTGGTTTATTAACCTATTTCTCAATCGTTATTGCATGAATCAGGTAGATACTTCTCTTTCCCCATCTAAAAGATTGCCTGCATCAACGGCACCANATCAAATTTGTAAATTCTTTGCTTGTTTTAGAAATGTTTTTAAAACATTTTCATATCCAGGATAACTGAAACTATTCTCCGAGATAAGATTTTCTACCTAAGGTGCTATGAAGGTGACTTGGACAATGCTCCAAGTCGAGGCATCAACTCACTTGTGTTTGATATGTGGCCATATTGGATTGTTACACTAATCAAAAGCAATGGGTCAACAAGCCATGTGAACTATATATGTATATATACGAAGGGCTTATGTAAGTGGGAACTGTGCGTATATTTTAAACGTCGTACTAACGATTTAGAATTGTCAAAGCATGATTGTTTTGCAACCTTTTTCCATAANCAAATATCAATGAAAAGGGATTACGTGTTACACATGCACAAACGTTATGAGATGTAGGAGTAATATTCTAAATATGAAGAGGTCCAAATAATTAAGTGACAAGTATTAAAAGATCTGTGTATAATTTATCAATTTAATTTTAGGTACATTGATACAAATTTTTATATTTAAGATTGCAATTTGAGAATTTTTTATTTTTTGGGGTGTACATGATACAAATTTTTATCTTTGAGGGTGAAAATTAAAATTTTTGATCTTTGAAGGTATAAATTAAAATTCAAACTATCTTTCAAGATACAACTTACAATTAATCCTTTTTAAAAACTTGCAAATTTTAAATACCTTTCAAAAACTCCCTCCTCTTTAATCTGGCCTGGCCACCCAGTTCTTGAATTCACTCCAAAGAGAAGAGAGAGAGAGAGAAATGGAATTTGATGACTGGGATTTGAGCGCCGAGGAACTTGACTCTCTCGAAAGAGATGCCCTCAAGCAGATCTCTCTGCGCAATTCATCTTATTTTGATGCCACTACTAGTACTCCTACTTCTACTACTTGTTCCTCATCCACAATTCCTTCTCATCAACAACCATCTCATGAGTCGACTACTCATTCTTCACGGCGTCAACTCCTCATCCCCCCTGCCAACCCAATCACACACTGTCCTCCCTACAACAAGGTCAGGCTTTTGCTCGTTATCATTATTATCGCTTGTTTATGGGTTTGATTACTTACTGGGCCTTCCTTCATTTCTTAGGGTTCTGTACGTGTGTGTGTATGTAAATATATGCCTGGACTCAGAATTCGTGTATAAAAATTGCTCAGCACATCTTCTGCAAATGAGCATCGCCACTTCTTGTGATTTCGGAAACCTAATTGGTAATTTGGATGCATGAAATTTAACCCGAGTCTTTAGCGGCATCAAATGGATAACCTAGAGGGGCTTACTATTAGGATTATTGGCATGTCGATGTCTCTAATTCACGTAATTTTGCTGTTTTGCCAACTGGTTTATTAACCTATTTCTCAATCGTTATTGCATGAATCAGGTAGATACTTCTCTTTCCCCATCTAAAAGATTGCCTGCATCAACGGCACCAAATGTTACTGGTGAGTTTCTTCCCCCTTTTCATTCATGCTTGGATTCTCTCTGCTTTTGTGGGGTCTGCTAATTTCCTAGATTTTGTTTTTTCTGCTTGTGTGCGGTTTTTTTTTTATCCATGAAGATGATTGCTCAAAGCAACAGCCTATTCGCTCTGTCAAATTTTTTTTACATGCTAGTGGGAACATTGCCGCCAAATTTTCCTATGATCAGGTTTTCACACCATCTGCCTTCCATTAAATTTATCTGCATTCTTCTTTCGCTTATATATTAGATTTCATCTTCTAACAGGTATTAGTAGGAGCCTTCCGCAAGATCCCCAAAGCTGGTTGGAATGCAAAAGAAAGGTCACAACCCCCTCCCCCCCTCTTTCCACCCCACACACACACCAGGCGAAAAAAGAAGAAATCTGAGTTTTGTTTACTTGATTTGCACTTTTAATGGAAATTTCCTGAGCATTCAGCCTTAAATTGGTGTTTTTATAAATTTGCAGATTGTGGATATTTCCTTTTTCATCATTCTTATCAGCAGAAAAAGTTCTTAGTGAAAGTCCTGGCTCTAACATTGAGGTGCGACTTGTATATCTTTCTCTTGATTTCTTCAATCTATTGATGTACATTACATTTGAATTGGTCTTTATCATCCAACACCATTTTGTATTGGAGTCCTGTCATCATCGTATGTGACAACTTATCAATCTGCTCCCGAAATTTATCGTTGATTCTTGTCGTTGGCAGGGAAGTTTTCTAATTGTGTTCTGTCTTATTTTGCTTTCACATAATCTACTAGGTTGAACATTTGGACCCTTTGGTGCAGCGTGCTATTGCTGCTGCCTCTGCTGTTCCAGATCTTCAAGGTAAACTTGAAGTTAGTGGACTTTCCGAGAACTCCTGTTTTCTATAAACGTGCCAATCTTTTATTGAGGCAAGCAATTGTCAATGTTATATTGATTTGACACGTGAACTTTTGTTAATACTGAGTCTCTTCTGTTTTATTTTTTCCTTTTGTTGAGTTTCTTCTCCAATCATTTACTATTTTCAAACATTTTCAGTCCTACCTTGGAAGAAAATAAGCCCATCAACAAACTACCAGTTTATCTCTTCCCAAAGTACATATTGGTTTCGAGCATCTATGCATTTTTGCTTTTAAAATTACCATAGAAGTAGTATTAAATAACAAAAATTATAGGTTCACGTAAAACTTAAACAACAAAACTGAATGGATGTGTTGATGGCGAGAAGTTGAGTATGGAGAGGTGCCAAACTTAGGATGCCACGTGTAGTTGAGATGGCAGGAGTGTAGGTCTGAAGGCTAATGCAACACAAGGAGACATTAGGAATGTTTGTTATGCTCAAAGGTAAGTTGTGGGGATTAGAAGAATTGTGAATCATCTCATTAATGGGGCTTACAGTGCTGGGAGTATATGAGGTTGTATTCATCTAAGGTTTAAATATGTATACCTTGTTGTAACAAGTTCACGACAGTGGCTTGAGGGCTGAAGCCTGGCTTACCCTACATGAAATGCTTATTTAATGTGAGTTTGGTATCAACAGGGTCTGTACTTTTAAGTGTTACCTGTCCTGTCTCAAGTGTGTGGGTCTTGGTTCCCCCTAGGGAGGCCATGGTACGGTTTGGTTAGCTAAGTTCATAGTTTTGCTTGCCTAAGCAATATACCTTTATCTCATTCCTATTGAAGGTGCAAGGCCCTAACAAGTATTGAAATTTCATTTCGCTTTCACCAAAGTGACCAAAGCGTTTTAATTTTCATTAAAATCGAAACTAATTGGTGATGGAATACCATCTCCTATATTTTGAAGTGTTTTGAAATGTTTTGAGTTGTTTTTGTAATGTTTTCGAATCAAATTTGTAAATTCTTTGCTTGTTTTAGAAATGTTTTTAAAACATTTTCATGTCCAGGATAACTGAAACTATTCTCCGAGATAAGATTTTCTTCCTAAGGTGCTATGAAGGTGACTTGGACAATGCTCCAAGTCAAGGCATCAACTCACTTGTGTTTGATATGTGGCCATATTGGATTGGTACACTAATCAAAAGCAATGGGTCAACAAGCCATGTGAACTATATATGTATATATACGAAGGGCTTATGTAAGTGGGAACTGTGCGTATATTTTAAACGTCGTACTAACGATTTAGAATTGTCAAAGCATGATTGTTTTGCAACCTTTTTCCATAAATAATATGAAAGTCAAGTTATGCATGCATACTCGTAAGCTATTGAATTAGTTTCCTCAAATTTTTTTGTGTGGATTTTTCGAATACTACGATTGTTGTTTCATTGGGTGAATATAACCTTTTCTTTGTGTATTGTATCTTACATGAAGGGGATGTGGTGAATTGGGAGATCACTGTTAAATATGAGGTGATGTTGCTAAGGATTGAGGATGTTTCCAAGCTCCCTTAGAAGTCTATTTGGCATCCTGAAGTATGCTCTAAAATCGCACTTTGTGCATGACAACAACCAAGGAGACTAGTATAAGTATAACTATTGATAATTGGGCGAGCAGGGGAAAACTCTTCCCAACTAGTGTTGTATGTGCATGGGAGTGGATGTTAATTTGAACCATTTATCATGCTACATCTCGGTTGCGAGAGGGATTTGGTCCCTTTTATGTTCGTTGTTGGGAATTTGTTGAATAAGTCTTGCGTTCAAGTATGGAGTAGATGGAGGAGGGAAGCTGTTAGCAAGAGGGTTAGTGTCCATTTGGATGGAACTTAATGAGCGTTTTTTCAAAGATGAGGATATGTCGACTTGTAAGCTGAAGCAGTCAAGGTTGAGTTCCCGCGTTTATGGGTTTTTCGGGAGATATTCCAACTCAAATAAATTGCATATACTTACTTGTTGCTAAGGGGTGCCTTGTTGGCATTTCTTTTACCTATTATTTAACATGCAAATATAAATACAAACATATTTTTTCCAGCTCATGGAAATAACATCTCTGCATGTGGGAGTTAACGATGTGTATGTCTTACCCTCCCTAAACCTTCACAGTAGCAGAAATCTCATGCACTGAGCCGTTTTTTATATTTTGGCAATTATTTTTTATTAACCTTTGACCTATAATATAACAAAATGGATCTGCATTTAGTTGATATCAGTATCCTACACCATTCTTTTGTCAGGTTTTTGTTTTTACAAGTCAAGTCAACTCAATGCACCTCGTTAAAGCTATGTTACAATTCTTTGGAGCAAAATATCTAAATCCAATTCTGTAATTGTGCACCAAAAGCTATTACATCTTTTTATCATTCCATGCAAAATTAATTAGTCCTACATTTGTTCCTTGAATCCTCGCTCCGAATACATTTGTTGTATCTCAATCCTTTGCATCTGATTTAGAATAAAGATCCTCATATGCTTTCTCCTTAGTCTTGTTTATCTCTGTTTAACTTTCTTGGTTTGCAAGCTTATATGGTTCAACACTTTCTTTGTTTTTAGTTTTTTGTTTTATAGCACTTTCCTTTTGTTTATATTATAGTTTGGACTTTATTATTGCACCACCAAGTTTATTTTCTAATGGGCCATTACATTTCAATTCTCAAAGAACCTCTATTGAAGTTGGTTTAATGTATTCAACTATTTTATTCACATTCATTAGTTTAATCTTCTAAGTTTCATGTTGGTTTTTTGCATCTTATTCTTAAATAAAATTATTTTTCTTCTTTTAAGTTCCACTTCCTAGTTTTTGGATTTTGAATATGTACATGCAATATTGTTATCCTATGTTACATGGTCAAGTTCTCTTCTAGAATAACATCAAAATCCTTACACGATAAATGATCTACTTTTGTTGTTTGGATAAAATTTATTCTTATTTAATTCATTTTTAAAGGTTATTAAATATTCCTCTCTATTGTGTGCAATAGCTTTATATTTCTATATTTTCGAGTGTAAAAAAGTTTATATTTGTATTTTCTGTCTTTTCATTGTTTTTTTTTTACCGGCTTTGTTTCTTTTAACTATGGTATATTGAATTTTCTCCTAATCATAGTTTCAATTATTTTCTTTTATTTTTGTGTTAGTGTTTCTATATTCTAAGTTGCTAACATAAGTTTAATATTTTGGACTAGATTTTTTTATCTGTGTTTGTCCGAACAACCAAAATGTGCACCACTTACTCATTTGTTGGAACATCTGGATGCAGGAATAGGTGCAGTCACTGCTTAAGAGAAATGTCTATTTACACATTTTCAGAATTTATGTTTATAGAGGTTTAACTAGTTTNCAAGTGTAAAAAAGTTTATATTTGTAGTTTCTGTCTTTTCATTGTTTTTTTTTTACCGGCTTTGTTTCTTATAACTATGGTATATTGACTTTTCTCCTAATCATAGTTTCAATTATTTTCTTTTATTTTTGTGTTAGTGTTTCTATATTCTAAGTTGCTAACATAAGTTTAATATTTTGGACTAGATTTTTTTATCTGTGTTTGTCCGAACAACCAAAATGTGCACCACTTACTCATTTGTTGGAACATCTGGATGCAGGAATAGGTGCAGTCACTGCTTAAGAGAAATGTCTATTTACACATTTTCAGAATTTATGTTTATAGAGGTTTAACTAGTTTTGTGATAGCTGGCAACTACCTTACCTATGGACCCTAAAATGAAACAGGTGCTGCTAGTTTTTTGTCTCAATTTTTCGCATCACATAGCCACCATTTTTACCTAGAGTAATATATATTATGAGCTAAACGGCTTTCCAAGCCTACACAGTAATCTACATACAAGGTAATAATTCAGAAGATCCAACTTATGTGTACATTTTACTTTGGAGTTTTTTTCACTTAATTGTGTGTGTGTGTGTGTTTTTTTTTTACTTCTATACTAAGGTCGACTTACCTATTTGTTGTATTTTGTTTTTTTTTTTTTCTAATTTTTCTCCAGATCGGTATGACCGGATCCCTGGTAATATTGAATCAAAGCTTATGCCTTTTCAGCGTGATGGTGTTAAGTATGTATGAGTATTTTTCAATAATGTGATGTCCTTGTTGTTAGGCAATTGTGAGGTGCTGCATTGATTATCATGCTTTTCTTTGTACTAACGTTGTGCTTTTCCATAACTTCAATTGAATTATTGACAATCTTGTTCTTTTCAGATTTATTTTGCAGCATGGAAGTCGTGTCCTTCTGGCTGATGAAATGGGATTGGGAAAGACTCTTCAGGTAATGAACTCATACAAATGGGTCTTTGGTCCAATGGTACTCCTTACCTTGTGAAGACTTTACTTTCTTGAGGTCAAGGGTCCAAGTCTCCCTCCTCCCTCCCACTACCCCCCAAAAAAAAGGGTATCGTCTGTATGCTGAGACATAATCACTTAGTCTCTGAAGATGNTGTTTATAGAGGTTTAACTAGTTTTGTGATAGCTGGCAACTACCTTACCTATGGACCCTAAAATGAAACAGGTGCTGCTAGTTTTTTGTCTCAATTTTTCGCATCACATAGCCACCATTTTTACCTAGAGTAATATATATTATGAGCTAAACGGCTTTCCAAGCCTACACAGTAATCTACATACAAGGTAATAATTCAGAAGATCCAACTTATGTGTACATTTTACTTTGGAGTTTTTTTCACTTAATTGTGTGTGTGTGTGTGTTTTTTTTTTACTTCTATACTAAGGTCGACTTACCTATTTGTTGTATTTTGTTTTTTTTTTTTTCTAATTTTTCTCCAGATCGGTATGACCGGATCCCTGGTAATATTGAATCAAAGCTTATGCCTTTTCAGCGTGATGGTGTTAAGTATGTATGAGTATTTTTCAATAATGTGATGTCCTTGTTGTTAGGCAATTGTGAGGTGCTGCATTGATTATCATGCTTTTCTTTGTACTAACGTTGTGCTTTTCCATAACTTCAATTGAATTATTGACAATCTTGTTCTTTTCAGATTTATTTTGCAGCATGGAAGTCGTGTCCTTCTGGCTGATGAAATGGGATTGGGAAAGACTCTTCAGGTAATGAACTCATACAAACGGGTCTTTGGTCCAATGGTACTCCTTACCTTGTGAAGATTTTACTTTCTTGAGGTCAAGGGTCCAAGTCTCCCTCCTCCCTCCCACTACCCCCCAAAAAAAAGGGTATCGTCTGTATGCTGAGACATAATCACTTAGTCTCTGAAGATGTCTTGTGTGTGTAAAGTGTGTGCTTGTGTGGGTAGGTGTGAGGCACAGAGGAAGAGACAGACTCACCCTAAATAGGGAGGACTACATTGTTATATTCTATGTTCAAATTGATTTGTGCTTGAATTCTGATTTGCTTGCGGTTCAGCCTGAGCTTTATTTGTTCAAGACGTTGATGGATTTTTATATGTTATGGGGCATTGTTTGGCTATTAGCAGTCAGGATGTCTTTGCTTTGCTGCATGAAAATGCTTAGTTCTCAACTGATGCAGCAATTACATTGCTATGAATTAAACATGATCTTTTGATGTATCATCGCAAAGACAGACTATATGCTTTGGAAGAAGTTCCTGCAATACAATGTTCTTTTAAGCCCAAAGAAGTCAATTTTCTAAACCACTCAGGTATATAGGATCACAAGTTAGTAGAAAACTGACTATATTGCTAATGCCTTTTCAGTGGGTCAGACTCAGAAAAACTGACCCTGAGCTCTCAGAGGACTGTTAAGTGTTAATGACTCATACTAGAACATTAGTGATGCACAAAATAAAGCGTTGGATTTTCCAAAATTCCCTACATGTTCACTGAAATAATTACTTCCCTGGGGCTGCATTGGTCACCCTTTGTGGTGAAAAAATCATGCTTGAATTTTTGAACTTGGGCATTTGGACTTGGCCACCACCACCCATTTTAGGCTCCTTCTTCTTATTACAGATATGTGAATTTTTACTACAGAAAGGAGCCAACATCAGTTTGTTTAGCTACTTTTCTTTGACAACTTCACTCTTTTCTTTTACAACTTCACTTCTTATTGATAACCTATGCTCTATTGTAATTTCTTCTAAAGTGCCAACTCCATGATTATTTTTTTGATACTTCAGAAACATTTTGATTAAAAGGATTGTAGCAACTTAAAAGACAACTTCTCTTTTGACAGTACTCCTGTAGTTATCATTTCAAAATCCAGTTCCACTTTCTTGTTCATAAATTCTTGTGTTAGCGTTAATTGCAAGCTCAAGTGAGTCAGTGCTCACCTTGTTGTCAAAGACTGCAGATGAATGAACACAAGATACCCATCTTCCTTATGCTCATAAAGGATTTGTGAATCATCTCCATCATATTTTGGTTCAAGAAAAGAATTAGTATTTGAGAATACGTCTAGATTATTTCCTAACTTTGCCTATCTTCCTTCATTTATGAGGTATTCATTGCTACCTAGATTGTTGTTGCAATCTTTGATATAGGTTGAACAAAACATTTTATACCTTATCCTAGTTACATGATGCATGAGCTTAAATTTCTTTTTGTGTCTGCAGGCTATAGCTGTAACCTCTTGCATTCGTGAATCATGGCCTGTTCTGGTTCTTACTCCGTCTTCCTTGCGGCTGCATTGGGCTTCTGTAAGTTGGGTTAACATGTTTTTGTGTGATAACATGAAAGTAGTCCCAGTATTCATTTGATTTTAATGTGTTACTTCAGATGATTCAGCAATGGCTGGATATACCGTCATCAGATATACTTGTACGTCTTTTATTTATGTTTCTAAGTATACTAATGTCAATTTTTTTCTTTTTTGTTTGCTGTTGTTGGTAGTGTAAGAATTGCTTTCGGCCTTTATTTGCCCTTCCCCCCTGGGTGTTGTACTTTTGAAGTTGTATGGTTATGGTTATGGCTATGGTTATGTTTCATTGGGTACCACAAATCATACTAGAGTTTGATGTGTTAGTAGCTTAATGGCATGCTTGTCTGGAAGGAAATTTAATTATGAGTTGTTCAATCTTGAAGATTGCTCGAAATTGTGTCTTGCCGAGCTTTGATAAGCTTTGAAAATGGGTAGGAAAGTCGTCAAATTGTGTATTGTTTTTTAAAAATACTGTATCACGTATCATAAGATACGATCAATTTAAGTTTATACACACATACCTAAACATATGTAAATGTATGGTGTTCATAGTAATATAAGTACCATTTCAACTCACTTATCATTTTGTGTGATGTAGGTTTTTGATAGAGATCGAAAAAGATACAATCGTTTGTCCGAGATCAAAATATAGCTAGGGTTTTGTCTGTTTGAAAGAGAAGAATAACNCGAGTGTAAAAAAGTTTATATTTGTATTTTCTGTCTTTTCATTGTTTTTTTTTTACCGGCTTTGTTTCTTTTAACTATGGTATATTGAATTTTCTCCTAATCATAGTTTCAATTATTTTCTTTTATTTTTGTGTTAGTGTTTCTATATTCTAAGTTGCTAACATAAGTTTAATATTTTGGACTAGATTTTTTTATCTGTGTTTGTCCGAACAACCAAAATGTGCACCACTTACTCATTTGTTGGAACATCTGGATGCAGGAATAGGTGCAGTCACTGCTTAAGAGAAATGTCTATTTACACATTTTCAGAATTTATGTTTATAGAGGTTTAACTAGTTTTGTGATAGCTGGCAACTACCTTACCTATGGACCCTAAAATGAAACAGGTGCTGCTAGTTTTTTGTCTCAATTTTTCGCATCACATAGCCACCATTTTTACCTAGAGTAATATATATTATGAGCTAAACGGCTTTCCAAGCCTACACAGTAATCTACATACAAGGTAATAATTCAGAAGATCCAACTTATGTGTACATTTTACTTTGGAGTTTTTTTCACTTAATTGTGTGTGTGTGTGTGTTTTTTTTTTACTTCTATACTAAGGTCGACTTACCTATTTGTTGTATTTTGTTTTTTTTTTTTTCTAATTTTTCTCCAGATCGGTATGACCGGATCCCTGGTAATATTGAATCAAAGCTTATGCCTTTTCAGCGTGATGGTGTTAAGTATGTATGAGTATTTTTCAATAATGTGATGTCCTTGTTGTTAGGCAATTGTGAGGTGCTGCATTGATTATCATGCTTTTCTTTGTACTAACGTTGTGCTTTTCCATAACTTCAATTGAATTATTGACAATCTTGTTCTTTTCAGATTTATTTTGCAGCATGGAAGTCGTGTCCTTCTGGCTGATGAAATGGGATTGGGAAAGACTCTTCAGGTAATGAACTCATACAAATGGGTCTTTGGTCCAATGGTACTCCTTACCTTGTGAAGANATAGGTTGAACAAAACATTTTATACCTTATCCTAGTTACATGATGCATGAGCTTAAATTTCTTTTTGTGTCTGCAGGCTATAGCTGTAACCTCTTGCATTCGTGAATCATGGCCTGTTCTGGTTCTTACTCCGTCTTCCTTGCGGCTGCATTGGGCTTCTGTAAGTTGGGTTAACATGTTTTTGTGTGATACCATGAAAGTAGTCCCAGTATTCATTTGATTTTAATGTGTTACTTCAGATGATTCAGCAATGGCTGGATATACCGTCATCAGATATACTTGTACGTCTTTTATTTATGTTTCTAAGTATACTAATGTCAATTTTTTTCTTTTTTGTTTGCTGTTGTTGGTAGTGTAAGAATTGCTTTCGGCCTTTATTTGCCCTTCCCCCCTGGGTGTTGTACTTTTGAAGTTGTATGGTTATGGTTATGGCTATGGTTATGTTTCATTGGGTACCACAAATCATACTAGAGTTTGATGTGTTAGTAGCTTAATGGCATGCTTGTCTGGAAGGAAATTTAATTATGAGTTGTTCAATCTTGAAGATTGCTCGAAATTGTGTCTTGCCGAGCTTTGATAAGCTTTGAAAATGGGTAGGAAAGTCGTCAAATTGTGTATTGTTTTTTAAAAATACTGTATCACGTATCATAAGATACGATCAATTTAAGTTTATACACACATACCTAAACATATGTAAATGTATGGTGTTCATAGTAATATAAGTACCATTTCAACTCACTTATCATTTTGTGTGATGTAGGTTTTTGATAGAGATCGAAAAAGATACAATCGTTTGTCCGAGATCAAAATATAGCTAGGGTTTTGTCTGTTTGAAAGAGAAGAATAATAATGACATGCAGGAGAAATAAAAGAGAGTCGCACGAGAAGAAGATGATCAAGAGCTTCGTGTGTTTGAGATCAAACAAAAAAAATAAAAAAATAACATAGGGTAAACGACATTGTTTNACAATGACATGCAGGAGAAATAAAAGAGAGTTGCACGAGAAGAAGATGATCAAGAGCTTCGTTTGTTTGAGATCAAACAAAAAAAATAAAAAAATAACATAGGGTAAACGACATTGTTTCATTGCTTAGGGAATTAAAAAAAAAAAAAAGTTGTATTGTATAGAGTTAAAAATACAAAAGAATGATATTGCACATATCATTTGTTCATTCTATCAAAATGTATCATAAGATCTGGGGAAAAAACGATACAACGCATATATAGGTACTGTATCTAGATGTACGTAAGATATGTATTGCATACTGCCAGAGTTGCTCAACTACTTTTGGTCGACTGGATAAATCTTGGCTTGTCATTTCCCTTTGTTGGGATTGACATTTTAGAGTTGTATACAACCTAGAGTTGCTCAGATGCTATTTTGTAGATTGATATACCATCCTGGCAAAAGCATTTGTTTGGGATTCTCCCATTGGAACTATTTTTCCCTGCTGTATCATTTTGCGCCTGAATTGTCTGAGCTACAGATGGGAATTATAGTGATATGATTGTTTACCTTGCCTCTCATGTGAAATGGATTGTGTTTAGTATATATTTTTTGGGATAAAGTAGATCTCATTTGTCATTTTGTGAGGATCATCTGATCAATATTCATGAATCACGCAGCATGCTTGCTGGGATAAAAAAGTGACTTTGGTTGTTGTCTTTGGACCAATACTTCTCAAGTGTAAACATAATGGACTTCAGCAAGCAGGTGCCTTTGAAATAAATACAGGAATACTTACAATGATCATTTTTTTTTCCTGATGGAATTAGGTGGTTTTATCTCAATGGGGAGGATCAAACAGGGGTGGATTCACCATAGTACCCTCAAACACTAAGAGGACTATTCATCTTGATGGCGTGTTCAACATTATATCCTATGATATTGTCCCCAAGTTACAGGACATAGTAAAGGCATCAGATTTTAAGGTAATTGTTTGAAGCTGCTAACTTTGTGCCTTTGTGCTATTTTAATGCTGAAAATATTGAGTTTCCTATGTTCTTAATTTGTGCGAGCCTGTCCAAAACATGAGTAAATGGGAAATCATTTCTGATTGTATATATGTTTATACATCAGTGTACTGTGTGTTTTTTAACCATCATATCCTTTTCTTATATAAATTCCGCTACTGCTCTTTTTCCTTTGCAATACTGTTGTTTGTTGAAATCTCTTACAATGTCTTGTTTTCCCCAAAAAAAGAACGGATGTTGTCAGATCACAATTGCTTTTCTACCAAAAATTTTAAGACAAAATAGATTGTTGGCTGAAAGGAGTTGAATAGATTTGTTTTCTATCCTGTTCTTACTTCAGTAGAATAGACCAGTGGGTTGTGAACTATGTAATATGCATTAATGGGGACTTATTTCAAATTTTATAACATAATCTACTGATGTCACTTCTTACTTCTTATTGCATTGTAGCACCGAATGGGTTTAGAAATATGGGTGTGCTTATATTGGCTATTGCGCTGCCTATAGTTTTCTCTGTGGATTATCATTATCTTCTGTATCAAGCATGTGTTTATTTGTATTCTATAGCTATTTTCTTTGCTTCAAGAATATGAAAATGTCATGTCTGTCATCTCTATCGAGTGATCTGTGGGTTCTTATGTCCCTTTTCTGGAAAAAATGATGTGTGTTTTTTGGACTGGTCGCCAGATAACTTTATCTAGCAGAGTGCAGAAATGTGAAAACTGTGCTCGCTACACCCCATTTACCAAAACGAAAATTACATGGTTTTCTTACCTGCTCTAGTTGGTGAAGTTTTTTGGTTGGTGCTTGCCATCTTTTGCTCTTTCAATGTCCTATATGAAAATGATTCATGTTGTAAGTGCTCTCTTACTTCTGATGCTTTCAGAAATGCTACCATGTATAGAATGAAAAATAAAGTTGATTCAGTTCAATTTATGAGCATATATGCAGTATACACTTGTACCAAAAATGTGTGTTCATGTGGGTATAATATTGAATTCTTATGAAGCTACTGTGATTACCTTTTTTGAAGTCACTTGTGTTTCTATCAATGATGATATGTTTATTTAGGTTGTGATTGCAGATGAATCACACTTCTTGAAGAATGCTCAGGCAAAACGGACAAGTGCTACCCTTCCCATATTACAGGTCCCTCTCTCTCTCTCTCTCTCTCTCTCTCCAGTTCTTCAAAAATAAGTTCTATGGAATTGGCAGATGATGAAACGGAATAATGTTCATCCCTACTGTGATCGAGGGTAATATTAGTCAATCCTGTATGGCTTGGAATTTGTATGCTTTGTAGATACAAAAGTAGAAACATATGATGTTGCCAAATTCTATGTAACACATTTGCAGTAGGAGCTGACCATCTGTCAAAGGGAGGGGGTGGGATTGCTTCTTCCTATCTGTCCATGATACGGAAAAAAAAAAATCAAATGAAAGAAAGAGAAAAATGACACAATTGCATCAAGTGCCATTGCTCCACAATCTGGTTCATTTTTTCTGAGTTATCTATGGATGAAAATGCAATACAGTTGCAAATGAGGAGGACAGCTGCATTCTCTCTCTCTCTCTCACAGAAACACATCCCATTTTCCTTGTTCATTGACTTATAATGTTAACAAATGTAGAAAGCTCAATACGCAATCTTGCTTAGTGGAACTCCTGCTTTATCACGGCCAATTGAGCTGTTCAAACAGGTACTTGTAAATGAAACTTTAGACTTCAATGCATTAGTGTTGTTTAGGAGAATTTTGAATTTTATTGTAGTTACTGTATAAGACAATTGTGCATGCTTGACAGCTGGAAGCTTTGTATCCTGATGTATATAGGAATGTCCACGAATATGGTAACCGATATTGCAAGGGCGTAAGTTGAAACATACATTCCCGTAAAGACCTTTCTATTAATAACCTTTGTGGCAATTGTAAACAAAACTTGAATAGGTTTGGTAAGTTAATGATAATTTTGCAGGGAATATTTGGAATGTATCAAGGTGCAAGTAATCATGAGGAGCTGCACAATTTGATGAAAGCAACAGTGATGATTCGCAGACTCAAAAAGGATGTTCTTTCAGAACTCCCTGTGAAGCGGAGGCAACAGGTATGAAGTCTAGCATTATGTTGCTTTATGTTTGTGCACTATTGCTGGCCTTCACTAAGTGAAAATTACTTAATGAATGGCTTATACTGGCCATCTTGTTGATCCAAAAGTAATGATTAGAACTTTTGATCCGTGATACATATGTGAAATGTTGCTCATAAGTTTTGGTAACATCAATTCTTGGATTTAATCAGCAGCGAACTGCTGCTTTATTGGCAATTTTCAACATCTCTTTGTTTCCTAAATTTTAGTATGTTACAGAAACAGAGGTTATTTTTTCTCTCTTTCTCATTTACTAGTTTGGGTATTTGTTCACAGGTGTTCCTGGATTTGGGAGAAAAGGAGATGAGACAAATCAATGCTTTATTTCAAGAGGTGATCTAAGTAGCCGGGTGTTATTTGTTGATTGTACGTCCATGGAAAAGTCTTTTTTATGGATTTCTTGGAAATTTAATTTAAGTAGAGTACTGGGAGTCTGGGAGTTGCATCTTTTAGATTGGAGTAGGATTCTAACATTGGCTTTTGATTGTTATATACCAAATGGATGTTAACACTGTCTTGTGTATGTTCCAACTGGTATTTATGTTAGTTGGGTGGTTGTTGTAGAATGATGAAATCCTTTCTTTCAAGACTACTAGGTATGACCATCTCTTGTTACTGTAGTTTTCTATTCCTTCCAAGATAGCATATAGGCTGTGAAACAGGCTTCCTTTCATCAGTCTACAACATCTGTCCATGCTAGGTGGTTGCTGTGGCTAATTCTTAACCTTTTGTTTCCCCTAGTGAATGCAAATTTACCATTTCTCTCCCTCTTAAATTTATTTTTAACTTATTCTCTTTCTATGGTCAAAATCTGCATGGTATTCAAACTATTTATTTGCTTTTCTAAAAATCTATGGTAACTGCAGTTTGTCTTTTGAGAGAAAAAATAAGGAAAATAATTTGATAATGTGTTGTCTTATTCTGTAGTTGAAGGTGGTAAAGGGCAAAATTAAAGCAAGCCAATCCAAAGAGGAAGCTGATGCACTGAAGTTTACTGAGAAGCAGCTCATTAATAAGGTATGCATTTAAGTTCCAGGAGTTCTTCATTACTTATGTCCGTCTTCTCTCTGATTGTGATGGTGTTTCATGACCTAGATATCTCCACACGATATCTGGTATTGTAGGACTATCACTCATATGTTGTTGAAACTGGTATATATNCTGTCTTCTCTCTGATGGTGATGGTGTTTCATGACCTAGATATCTCCGCACGATATCTGGTATTGTAGGACTATCACTCATATGTTGTTGAAACTGGTATATATTTATATCCTCTTCTGCACAATTTGGGAATTAGAGCTTCAAAGTGTTCTATCACTTGCTAGATTCATTAGTAAAATTGCATGGAGCTAGGGAGACCTTCAACAGCAATCCAACCCCCCAAGAATGACACTTTACTTCTAACTGAATTACTCTCGTGGTGCCATTGTTGCAGTTTCACCTTAACGCACTCATCAATGTGAACAACTTCATTCTTGCAAACATCTTCGGCCTGCCTTCTATCTTTACCAAAAAATATGGCTTTATCAGTTTGAAAGGCTTGTAGTTTCACNGTGCCATTGTTGCAGTTTCACCTTAACGCACTCATCAATGTGAACAACTTCATTCTTGCAAACATCTTCGGCCTGACTTCTATCTTTACCAAAAAATATGGCTTTATCAGTTTGAAAGGCTTGTAGTTTCACCTCCATTTCCAAAAACATAGACAAACCTTCTTGAATATCCTTTCAAGAATGAAACAAACTCTCTCTAATACAAACCACCAAACATCTCCACCTCTCTTCTTCATCCCCTTTAATTATATCATTTTTCAGAATAATCTCATCATCTTTTACACCAAAACTTCCTACCTTATCCACCCATCCCCTGTTCTTCTATTCCAGTAACATAGCAGACATTTCACCGTCAGTAGCTTTACAACATAGCAGACTTTTCACCTTCAGTAGCTTTACCCATCATTCTACCAAAAGCTTTCCATCCATTCCCTTCAACACCTTTGGGAATAACTATCCAAGTTCTCCTACCATTGTTCACCAGTTTAGAAATTCTTAAAAACTCGCCAAACCTGCTATTCTCCATTTCTATCCATACACATAATCCCTCATACCGATACTTTCTGAAAAAAACCTCATTCTTCTTCCAAGTTATAGCACAATCTACAGAATTCTTTAACCACTCCAGACATCCTCTACTCAACTAGTAATAAAATGACCCAAAACAATTCCATGCAGCTATACGAAAAGACCCATCGTGCACCCCATCTTTCTTAATTGTGAATCTCTTATGCTCTATCTTAATCTCCATAGAACATGAGTTTCATTCATGGTCGGGGGAACATATGAAACCACTTCGCAAATTGACTTCTTCTCGTGCAGTTGTTCAATAGCACTATTCAGAAATACCATCACAGCGTGATTCGATTATGATCTAACTATTAACCTTGGCACATATTACTACTTCATAGCTTTGGTTTTGCCACTTTTTGTATTTTGCTTGAAGCTTGATTAAGCGTTTCTTTTATAATTTTCTTTCTTGTGTTTTCCCTTTTGAGGACTCCTTGTCATCCCGTATACCTTTACACTTTCTTACTTAATAATATTCACTCATATTTTATGTACAAAAATTCTTTTATGTAACAAAATACAGCTTGGCTTCCTTAATTTTGCCATGAATGTGAGATATTGATTTCGGGCCTCTGCACTAAAACTTTGTCACTAACGCCGCTTGCCGTAAGTTCCTCGGTTAGTTCTAGTCTACTGCAACTTCTGAGCATGTAATTTCCGAATAAAAATGGAACAGGTGGATAGATTCATGTGACCATATTTTATTACAAGTATTTTTCATTTTGTAATGTCTGTTCTCTTAATCAATTCAGCTTGAAGTCTTACCCTCTGTCTCTCTATGCCATATTGGGACTCCAGATTTATACTGATTCTGCGGAAGCCAAAATTCCAGCTGTACTGGACTACCTGGGAACTGTTGTTGAGGTATGATTCCACTTGATGCAGTCTACCTCTGGTAATGCTCGAGTTCAAATGAAATGTATACATGGAGGAGCCCCTGCACTGGTTGGGTTGTTCTTCTCTCCATTTTTTAATCAAAAAAAAATATTCCATAGCTAGGGTTGGTTCCATTAAACACAGTGACAGGTTACTTGGGAGTATAAGATCTCTCTCTTTGAGAAGACAATTATTGGCTGTGTTTCCTTGATGTACACCCTGCGCCCAAATGAATTGTAGATTCAGAAAGGTTAATGTCAAGAACGCATAACTGGCAGTTTATGCGGTAATACCCAGTAGTGGACCTACATTCAGTACGAGAATGAACATACCCTGGATCATCTGATTTAAAGAACATAGATATGCAAAAGCAACAAATATACCAAATGTAAAACACATCATCACTCTGATGTCCTTGAGTGTTAGCTCTTAAACCCGGACCACCCCACACTTCCCCATAGCGGGCTCTTTAAATGTGAGGGGAAACATCTTCTCAACTGTTGGTTCAATAAATATTCTATCCTTATGAACCAGATATTAACTAGGTATCAAATTTGTTGTCTTACCCAAAAGAGAAAAAAAAAAATGAAAAGTTGTTTTACACTTTAATGAATCCTCAGTGAAAAAAACCAAAAAACTGGGAATTTGACCCAAAATTTTTAACGATGTCAATTTCCACATAAGTTGAACCATTGGAGAATGATAATCGTTATCACTGTCAGTTGTTTACCTTTTTTTACAACATTGTGAGCGCTTATGATTAGCAAATATGAATCTTGAGGACCATTGGACTTTCTTTGTTAGATTTCTCGACATTTATGCTAACCTGAAAATATATTACCTCATGTCGAAACCGAACTCTGTAGCTTTGCTCTCCACAAAAATAATCCGTACGTGGTTGTCTGAACAGACTTTAATAGTTTTGATTGAATAGACTCATAATGTGTGGTGGTTGGTTACTAAATATATAGAAATTAAGATTTTAAAGCCAAATGTTGTTGTCGTGTTAACCAATGAAAACAAGTGAAAAATCACTTGGGTAAGAATACTTGGTTGTGTGCCATATTCGACTCGGATGCATGCGTTGCATGTGCGCATACAGACTAATTCTCTTTGGTGTCTGGTGTCTTAAATCCTTTTTTTCCAAAGAATTGACAAGGTTGTATAATATCAATTAAGTGTGCACCTGAGAGAGCTACTGAGTTGCCAGTAATCCTAAGTACACATGTACAGGAATATCTAGGTTGAATTAGGATTTGAGGCTCTTATCAGTTTTAGTCTTGGGCTGCATATGTACAGGGTGAAAGTTCTCGCATAAAGTAATTGTCAATCAGGAGCTATAGTTTGATGATTTGGGGGGATAATATCTTTCAACATCTAAGGTTGTATTCGACCGGCAGTTAATGGTACTTATTTTTTGCGTTGTGTTTAGATTGAGCTCTGGTTTGTCGTAAGAACCACACGACTAGGTTGTTTGCAAGCAGCATTTAGTGGTTCTTTATCTGTTTGCACGTTGTGCAGCCGCAAGTGAGCATTTCAAAGTTCTTTCATAGAACTGCTTTTAAATTTTCAAATCCTATTGTGATTTGCATGTTTGCTTCTACAATTTTTAACCCTTTTTTATTCTAATTCTTTCAGGCAGGCTGCAAATTTCTAATATTTGCACATCATCAACCAATGCTTGATTCAGTACACCAATATCTTCTGGTAAGACCACTTGATTTTCAGTGAAATTTCTTGGAAGCTAATTCATTCTCATCAGCATTGCGAAATTTCTAGAAGAAAAAAGTTGGCTGCATTCGGATTGATGGCAGTACTCCAGCAGCTTTACGGCAAGCATTGGTTACAGATTTTCAGGAGAAAGATACTATAAAAGCAGCGGTGGTATTGTATTTTGCTTCATTATTTTTTATCTTATTCTATTTACTTATAGGTATTTACTTTCTCAATTCTCCATGTTATTGGAACTTGATTAGCTGTAACTGAATTTGGTAAAATGATATATATATATATATATAATTGTTGGTTTTCAGCTATCTATCAAAGCTGGAGGTGTTGGGTTGACCTTAACAGCCGCAAGCACAGTAATATTTGCGGAATTGTATTGGACTCCAGGTGACTTGATTCAAGCAGAAGATCGTGCACATAGGATTGGTCAGGTAATTTAACAGCAAGAATTATATAACCTTCTGGACTGCAATATATTTTGAACTTTTATTATAATTCATGTTAAGCATGCAATATGTTTGCCTTTGAGAACTGGATTCTTATGCACATACAGCGATGCTTCTCAAGACAAAAGTTCATCAATTTTGGATCTACTTGTTTTGTGTGTGTACGTGCTTTTTCTTTGTTCCCTTGAGTTTTATTTTTTTGATCTAATTAAATATTTGGATTTGGGGATAGCAAGAGAAGGAGAAAAAAAAATAGATTAAGAACCAATATTAAGTGTGCACACTGGCCCCACTCTATACCACCTATTTGTATTACGTTGATATTGAATTAGTTTACAATTTTTGGAAAGTAGAACATAATAGGGAAGCGACATAATTAGAAAGTAATAATCAGAATAGGAAAGTAACACTCCAACACTCCTCAAGCTAGAATACTGAGATCAAAAATGCCCAGCTTAGATCAAAAGTTACTAAAAAGTAGACCGTGTCGGCAGTTATGTGAATATCACTGAGTTGTTCACCAAACTTTACAAACAGTGTTGTAATATCTCCACATTAGTATTAAGTATAATAAAACCAAACCATGCTCTAGACGACTACTTCAGATCATACAATGATTTTTTTAATCGACCCACACTACCAGGTGGTGGTTGTGTGTGAAGTTTAAGACAACATTTGAAGGAAAATAATATTGAAGCAAATGAATACAACTAACAACACTTCAGCAAACAATAGGCAACAACGTATTCAACCACAACAATCACAAAGGGGGTAAACCAAGAAAAATCAGAGTTCAATCAGTGAAAAAGGAGGTTTAACTAGTGTTGAAAATAACAACGCCGGTATTGAACTAAAAATCCAAAATTGGCACTGAATCAGGCTGAACATGACTGAATTGGCATTGAACTGTTTTAGAAACCACTAAACCATCACAAAACTGGTTTGAAAACAACTAGTCGGACACTAAATCGGGCTAAAAACACTAAATTGACTCTTAACCTGGATGAAAATTACTAAAGCAGCACTAAACTTGGCTGAAAACTATAGTAGTGACACTAAAAAACGTTGAAAACATTAAACTAGTACTAAATTGGGTTGAAAACACAACCAACCAACATCAAATTTGGCCAAAAATCATAACATTGATACTAAATCGGCTGAAAACATTGAAATGGCACCGAACTAGACTGAAAACTACCAAACTGATATTAAATCAAATTGAAAACACTGAACTCAGATGAAAATAATTGCCAAATTGGACCAATATTAAAGTGGATTTAAAACACTGAACCGGTACCACACCAAGGTCAAAACACTAAAACGACAGTGAACTGGGGTAAAAACACTAAATCAGCCATGAAATGAGATGAAAATCACTAAACCTACACCAAATTGGGCTTACCTGAGTATCTTACTCTGATATCAAGTTGAAATTTAAATAATTGAATATTAGAGTTTAGGGAAAGGAGTGGCAAAAATAAATTATGAAACAATATTGTTTGTACCGTAGGTATTGGCTACACTATCACTTTTATATTAGTTTGATATTGAAAGCAATTACAGTTTTTTGAAATTAGAATATAATAGGAAAGTGACATAATTGGAAAGTTTAACAATAGAAAATTAATCATAATAGGAAAGTAACACTCCAACACCTTGATTTTGTTAGTGGTTTGAATATTACAGTGAATGGTATGTCAGATTTGCTGTGATATATTGGCTTGAATTACAGCTTATATCTATTTTTAGATCTCACATCTAGATGCCAATTGTGCTGCAATAGGTTGACATGTTTGCTTTCATACTTCTAGGTGTCATCAGTCAATATATACTATCTGTTAGCAAACGACACCGTTGATGACATAATATGGTATGTCCTTATCTAGTTGCTATGTGATGCTATCTTAAATTATAATCTTTATAAGGGGAGCTGTTACATCAAAACAAAGGAGGATTATGGTGTCGATTATGATTATCAGCAACTTAAATCTAATAAGTCTCTTTCCAGGGATGTTGTTCAGAGCAAGCTTGAAAATCTAGGACAGGTTTGTTTTCTCTCCCTTTTTCCTCTTTCATTAGTTGTTTTTTGAAATTATTTTGGGTAGCGTGTGCTGATTTTATTTATAAAACATCATCACATCCTCCTTGCGGCTGTGTACACACAAGGATATGGTTCGTGTAGAACCATTTTTTCCATATAAACATGCATGCAAGGGGGTGATGATTCACATACGAATATGGTATTAGGCCCTGGTTACCTTATCTCCATGGGAATTATCTTCACTGAATTCTCATTGGTGAATATATAGATGCTTGATGGCCATGAGAAAACCTTGGAAGTTTCAGTTAGCCAGACAAGCAGCAGCCCTGCAAAACAGAGAACACTTGACTCCTTCATCAAGCGATGCAACAACTTTTGCAACTCTGAACATGAACCTAAGCTTAAATACCCCAGGCAATGAGCCACTAAACCTAGGAAATGGTGATTCAAAAATATGTACAGATGAACAGGCACATACCTGGATCATTCTTTTTGCAGTGCTGAGCGCACAGTTTTGGATGTATTTGAAACAATGTGCTGTTTTGTGTTCAGTAGTTATGTCGACCATATGAAATTCGTCTTTCTTCAGGTTTGGAAATGGGATGTAATTATGGCTTGTGTACATTTCATCAGTTGATTCCATCAAAATCTGATTCTGGCGAGTTTACATGGAGTAATAACTTGCAATTTTGTATATAATGGATCTGAATCAGTCTGACCAAAAAAAAAGAAGCTCTGACTGGGCAGGGTGGTACCAGGGTCGCAATCGAGTGATGTCAGTTCATGTCAGTTTCCAATGTTTAAAACGACCACAAACTGTTTGAAGTAATCATGTTGAGGTTCGGTCACCAAACACNTTCCAATGGTTAAAACGACCACAAACTGTTTGAAGTAATCATGTTGAGGTTCGGTCACCAAACACCTCCACAAGAAGTTCATGTGTAACCACGTTTAATATGCAGGTTGTGTTTGGGCCATCAGTGAACCTGTGAAATAACTGTGGATCCACCACCAGCTACCCCACCCACATAAGTTGATGAACGTAACTTTCAGGCATCAGGCATCATCACCTAAGAAGGGTCTTTATTTTTCGTTTGTCTTTCTGGTTAATCCTTGGGAACACTATTGTACTGTCATTAACTTTTTGGTGTTAAAAAAAAAAAACAAACCCCATAAGGCTATAAACATTAACCTCAAATAGTGATGAGTGGAAACGCTATCTAAATGGTGGTATTAATATTCAAAAAAATGATTGGTGGTATGGTAAATGGGGCACTGGAGTGAAACAAAAGAGAGGCCAATCTCTTTAACATGTCGATGTTTGCTCAACGGTTCTGTTTTGATTGGAGTTGCGAGGACAAGATAATTGTTGGATACCACAACTAGCAAAATGACTACGAAATTTAGAATCAGAAAGATTGTGTTCCATCTTCACATTAAGGCTTTAATGATCATAGAGAATTGATTTTCAACAAACTTCTGAAAAAGAAGAAAAATGTCATAAAATCATATTTAAGTTTACGAGGGTAAAACCAAGTAAAACGTGTATTATCATCAACAAAAATAACATAGCAGCGATATCCTAAAGATGTAATGAGAGAGCAGTAGTGAATAAGTTCAAGAGGAAAAGAACAGTGTTTGTCATTATTGCAAAAGGTAATCTATGACTTTTATCCAATTGACAACCAGTACATAACCGAGAGAAAATAGAAGAAAAACTACCACTAAGGGTGATATCACCCTGTTTATTCAAAAGTTCAACAGTACTAAAGGAAGAATANGGAAATAGAAGAAAAACTACTGCTAAGGGTGATATCACCCTGTTTATTCAAAAGTTCAACAGTACTAAAGGAAGAATAACCCAAACGTGCATGTCATGTATCAAAAGAGGCACAGAGACCGGTTTTGCATAGAGAAGAGATGAAAGCTTGTTGACCTAAGAATGTCCATCAGCGAAAAGGAACCAAGATTATGGGGAGATGAGAAAAAACCAATGTGGGAAATGGGAAGGGAAGCACCATTGCAAACCATAACCCGATTGGAACTTGAATATGGAACAGTGTTGTCAATAATCCATGCATCATGTGTCATGTAAGAGGAAGCCCACTATAGGCATACCATTCACTATCTTGCTGGTCTTGAACAATGCAAGAAGAAAAGACTTCCATGAGATTGGCTTTATGTGAAGGCTGATCATAACGTTGCAAACAAGTGTGAGCAATATGGCATGTCTTACCGCAAATTTCACAAACAAACCGTGCACCATGTTGGGAAGAGTTTTTATTGCTGGAGTGATTGGGGCGGCCATTGTGGGAAGCACCACGACCACCATTGCCTCCTCTGCCCGAGCAGCCACCACCACGATGAAACTTGTCGCCTTAATGTGAATGACCACCACGTTGAGCGGCTAATGCACTTTGAATGTTGGCCGTGGGATTTGGGACATGATATAAACCAATGCACTTTGTCTGTGTCATCTACTGGACATCCCATGGCAGCTAATCGGTCACACAATTGTTTGAAAGTCCGTGCATAGTCGACAACATTGTGAGACCGCCATTTCATTAATTGAAAGTCATCTTTCAACTGAATTTCTCGTGCCTTGGATATGTGAGAAAAGGAGGCTTCAAGGGCAGACCATGTTTTCATGAGCAGATGTCAATCCCAACAACATGGTTGTGATTTGATTCTTGGGTATTTACAGCTCATTCCAATATTCTAGCTATCTCTAGAATTTGTCATGTGATTGACTTTGCCATTGATGGAGTCATCATAACTGTCGGAGGATCTTGGGGAATTATCTTTAACAGAATTACCATCTAAAATCTTCAACACTCTTATGACATGGAAAACCTGGAAAAAAAAAATTGAAACCAGAAACTAGCAATTAATTTATCAAAAGTTCTCCTTTTGCTGATCAAATTATTAAAAAAATTGTAGCGCCTCTTGAATTTCACAGCGTGTAGCTTAAACCAACTTGAGGCAGACAACATTATGTTCCCGCCACTTCCTCATTAAAAGTTAAGGGAAACGGTTTACTCACGCCCCATTGAAAGTATGCCAAAGATGTCAGCTAATAATTCAATATGAATACAGACCATACCTTGTAAATACAATTTTTCAAGCTGATCAACAGAGAGATTACGAAAAAAACTCAAACTAAAAGCCACCACCAAATAGTTTTAAACATAAATTCTATGAGATGTAACTGATAATGCACAAAAGTTGATTTATGCACAATCAATAGTCGAATGTATGATGCAGAGAAATTAATGAAACAATTAATAGCAGAAGGCAAATAATGGGTGGTTGGGCCGAGGTGACCAAACTATTGAAGACGGCGACAGTGGCTGAAAAACTTTTTTAATAAAGTAGAAGGTGGGAGAGAGAGCAACGGTAAACTCTAGGAGAGATTGGGTAGCTATGAGAGAGGTAATGAGTGTAGAGAGATAGTTCTGAGAGATGTGTCTTTCTTGTATAGAGGACTTACAATTTATAGGCACAGAGTCTTGGTTGAAGCGGTGGTGATGGGTAGGTTACTAACTTTTTGGAGAGGATAACTATAATTAGGATATGTACAATTAGAGATAGTTTTAATCTAGGAAAGTGGCTATCTCAGTAATAATTCCCCACGTGCGCTAATATTCCTGGATCTCTTGAACTTTAGACTGGGCCAAATCCATGAGCTAGGTTTGACCTGCATTTTAGCTGAATCATCTCATTAATTGAGTTTTACTCAGTTAAATCTGAGCTCATTATTTGTCTCCCATGTCCCAAGCCTCAATTGCCAAAAAGGGGCTAGCGCCCNCGAGTGTGAGCAATATGGCATGTCTTACCGCAAATTTCACAAACAAACCGTGCACCATGTTGAGAAGAGTTTTTATTGCTGGAGTGATTGGGGCGGCCATTGTGGGAAGCACCACGACCACCATTGCCTCCTCTGCCCGAGCAGCCACCCCCACGATGNCAAGTGTGAGCAATATGGCATGTCTTACCGCAAATTTCACAAACAAACCGTGCACCATGTTGGGAAGAGTTTTTATTGCTGGAGTGATTGGGGCGGCCATTGTGGGAAGCACCACGACCNAGAGCAGATGAAGCAGCGAAGCAGCTAGAGCATAACAAGAATAACCCAGTCCACGGGCGATGTCGGAAAGGAGACTAGCGCCATTAGGGGCGACGCCTGTAAGCTGGGACCTCTGGGTGGTGCCAAGCACATGCTGGGCATGCCAGCGCCAAGGGTGCGCTAGGCGGACACTGTAGCTTAGGCACCGGTCGTGANCCCCACGATGAAACTTGTCGCCTTAATGTGAATGACCACCACGTTGAGCGGCTAAGGCAACAACATTTTGTGGCTGGAGATCAAGAGATTTAAAGAATAGATCATGCTTTAGGAACCAGGTCTTTGAATGTTGGCCGTGGGATTTGGGACATGATATAAACCAATGCACTTTGTCTGTGTCATCTACNCACCACGATGAAACTTGTCGCCTTAATGTGAATGACCACCACGTTGAGCGGCTAATGCACTTTGAATGTTGGCCGTGGGATTTGGGACATGATATAAACCAATGCACTTTGTCTGTGTNGCAAGCGCCCAATCTGACAAAAGCGTGACAAAGAACGCTTCACAAGATTTCCTGCAAGACAGGGGGACCGCTGAGATGGTTCTAAGGTAACCTATATTTTTAGCTCAATTGACTGTGATGATGATANTGTGTCATCTACTGGACATCCCATGGCAGCTAATCGGTCACACAATTGTTTGAAAGTCCGTGCATAGTCGACAACATTGTGAGACCGCCATTTCATTAATTGAAAGTCATCTTTCAACTGAATTTCTCGTGCCTTGGATATGTGAGAAAAGGAGGCTTCAAGGGCAGACCATGTTTTCATGAGCAGATGTCAATCCCAACAACATGGTTGTGATTTGATTCTTGGGTATTTACAGCTCATTCCAATATTCTAGCTATCTCTAGAATTTGTCATGTGATTGACTTTGCCATTGATGGAGTCATCATAACTGTCGGAGGATCTTGGGGAATTATCTTTAACAGAATTACCATCTAAAATCTTCAACACTCTTATGACATGGAAAACCTGGAAAAAAAAAATTGAAACCAGAAACTAGCAATTAATTTATCAAAAGTTCTCCTTTTGCTGATCAAATTATTAAAAAAATTGTAGCGCCTCTTGAATTTCACAGCGTGTAGCTTAAACCAACTTGAGGCAGACAACATTATGTTCCCGCCACTTCCTCATTAAAAGTTAAGGGAAACGGTTTACTCACGCCCCATTGAAAGTATGCCAAAGATGTCAGCTAATAATTCAATATGAATACAGACCATACCTTGTAAATACAATTTTTCAAGCTGATCAACAGAGAGATTACGAAAAAAACTCAAACTAAAAGCCACCACCAAATAGTTTTAAACATAAATTCTATGAGATGTAACTGATAATGCACAAAAGTTGATTTATGCACAATCAATAGTCGAATGTATGATGCAGAGAAATTAATGAAACAATTAATAGCAGAAGGCAAATAATGGGTGGTTGGGCCAAGGTGACCAAACTATTGAAGACGGCGACAGTGGCTGAAAAACTTTTTTAATAAAGTAGAAGGTGGGAGAGAGAGCAACGGTAAACTCTAGGAGAGATTGGGTAGCTATGAGAGAGGTAATGAGTGTAGAGAGATAGTTCTGAGAGATGTGTCTTTCTTGTATAGAGGACTTACAATTTATAGGCACAGAGTCTTGGTTGAAGCGGTGGTGATGGGTAGGTTACTAACTTTTTGGAGAGGATAACTATAATTAGGATATGTACAATTAGAGATAGTTTTAATCTAGGAAAGTGGCTATCTCAGTAATAATTCCCCACGTGCGCTAATATTCCTGGATCTCTTGAACTTTAGACTGGGCCAAATCCATGAGCTAGGTTTGACCTGCATTTTAGCTGAATCATCTCATTAATTGAGTTTTACTCAGTTAAATCTGAGCTCATTATTTGTCTCCCATGTCCCAAGCCTCAATTGCCAAAAAGGGGCTAGCGCCCTTTGCGTTGGTCTGAGCGAAGATAGGGAGACAGCGCGATGACCCAGGCGCTGGGCGATGCCAAGAGCAAGGCGTCGCCTTTCTTTAGCAGTAGGGAGGCTTCAGAAGGCGGCACCTCTGAGTGGACCTAGCTGTTGGGCGACGTCGATGGGTTGAACGGGTCTGGAAAGCAGATGAAGCAGCGAAGCAGCTAGGGTATAGCAAGAATAACCCAGTCCATGGGCAATGTCGGAAAGGAGACTAGCGCCATTAGGGGCGACGCCTGTAAGCTGGGACCACTGGGTGGTGCCAAGCACATGCTGGACATGCCAGCGCCAAGGGTGCGCTAGGCGGACACTGTAGCTTAGGCACCGGTCGTGACGGTTTGGACGGTGCCAGCAATGAGATTTCTCAAGGCGAGGTGGCCACTTAACTTTCTTGTTTTGACATCTACTTGATATTGAGTCTTCCTTGACATCTACTTGATATTGAGTCTTCCTTGACATCGGTTTTATTTTTTGGCAAGCGCCCAATCTGACAAAAGCGTGACAAAGAACGCTTCACAAGATTTCCTGCAAGACAGGGGGACCGCTGAGATGGTTCTAAGGTAACCTATATTTTTAGCTCAATTGACTGTGATGATGATATCACCCGCATTGTTTCCTCGTTCCGTATTTCTCCTGTTGTCCTATGTCAATGGGCCGAGGGGGACGAGCCAGTGTGTTATAACTCATCAGGAGAGATTGTCTTTTACGAGGATGTCCTTGAGGAGGGGTTGAGGTTTCTTATACCCAAACACATCTGTCGAATTCTAGGACACCTATCATTGGTTCTAGGGAGGTTAACTCCCAACGGTTGGAGGGTGATTTTGGTATTCATCTCATTATGGCAGTTGGTCCATGGTGCTGACGTCCCTCCTCCTTTTGAGGAGTTCTTGGCCTCATACGTGCTTCTGGATAACCCTGCTCCTCATCAAGGGTGGTACCGCTTTGCCCCGAGGATGGACAAGTTTGTCACTGGACTGCCCTCGAATTTTCATAGCTGAAAGTTTAGGTTCTTCTTCTTTGGAGGTGAGTGGGCCGTTGAGGAAGATCACGATTTAGTACCTTCAAGGGGGGACACTGTTCCAAGAACCAAGCTAGGTAAGAGTTTTACCTTTGCTCTTACGTTTAATTGTCACGTATTTGTACTTACTGTATGCTTTGTCCTTTTACATCTCCACCCACATTATCTGTGAAGTGGGAGAGTAGGCTCCAAGTCGTAAATGATCATCCTTTCAAAGAGCTTGTAGCCATCATGTCCGCGGTGGGTCATCCTATAACCTCCCTTAGGCAGAAGATGAAAGGTATGTGATCCTTTCAATAAACTTCAATAATTATAATTTTGAGGATTCTTCGTCTTACACTAGTTCCACAGATCCCATTATTGATAGCGTGATGGTAAAGGCTCTTTACGCTTCCAGGGTGGCATCTTCCCCTCCTTCTAAGAGGGCGAAGTCTAATGCCCCCAACGCTTCTCAGCCAAGGTCTGATGGCCAAGCTGCTTTCCAGGAGGTGGGACTTGGTAGTGCCCCTACTCCTTTCCCGGTTGAAACTCCTTCGTATTCCAGAACTAGTCTTAGTATGGTAGGAGGAGTTGAGACTCCAATGCGATCTTCCGTCGTGACTAGAGTTCCACGTTGTCATGCTTCTAATAGTGGTTTGATATTCATGTACAAGACGTGAATCTGGCCAAAAAATGGCTTTGGGTTTTGTGATCACCACTGATATTTAGAGAGGTTGGCTCTCGAGGTCCAGAGGGCATCATCAACACTATGATGGAGGAGTTTGCTATGGTATGCCTTTTACTTAACTTGTACCCGCTTCCTTTCCCTTATGTTCTATTTTTTGAATGCTTGTAGGTGGCTGCTGTTTTTCCTTGCCTTTTTTTAAGGCCGATCAAGTTTGGAAAGACATCAATAGCTTAGGGATAGAAGAGGCAAGTACGAGAGGCTACTGAGGAGCAGTTGAGGCTAGAGAGGCAGACACGAGAGACTACTAAGGAGTATTTGAGGCTAGCTCATGAGAGAGTCGCACCTCTTGATGGAGCTTTTGGCGTCTTGCGAGAGGGCCGCCCAGTTAAAGGCTGACAGCGAGGTAGCCTGCACGAGAATAGAGACAAAATTGTGGGTATCCCGTGAAAGGGCCGCTAGAGTTGAGGTCAAGTAACGGATAGCTTGGGAGAGGACTATCATGACAGAGGCTGACCTTCGAGTAGTTCATGAGAAAGCTACCAGGGCAGAGGCTCACTCTACTGAGATGGAGAAGAGGAGGGAGGCTGTTGAGAGGGCCATTGCAAGTGCCTTTATCGATAGTTATGAGGAACTTAAGAGGAAGGTCTCAGCAGCTTTTTCTGTTTTTGACTTTTTTGGTGGCCTGTCAATACTAGGACTATGAGTATGTTTGTAGATGCAAACTTGGCGAGGGCTTCTGTTATGGTGTTCTCCTCCCTGGGCACATGGTGGGTTTGGAAGTGATTAAACTTTCTCAACAAAGCTTGAACCACTGACAAGTATTCTTGCATTTTTTCCTCCTTCGCTACAAAGTCTCATTTCACCTGATTGATTATCAGTTGGGAATCGCTATAAGCTATCAGGCAAAAAGCTTCCATCTCCATTACAAGCTTCAAACCTGATATGAGAGTCTCGTACTCTGCTTGGTTGTTTGACATTGTGAAATGGAGGGAGACAGTGTACTTGAGTGGAGTGTCATCGGGGCTGATCAGTACTAGCCCTACCCCACCGCCCTCGCTAGTAGAAGATCCATCGACATATAGTCTCCAACATGGTACGGTGCCAGTAGGGGATGCCTGCTTAGGTGTAGTGGGGCACTTAGGCAAGAGCACAACACGTTGGAGTATGGCTAGCGAGGGCGCCGAGGACTCTAGATGAGTAAGTGCAAGGGAACTAGGCGCCTATGGTCTAGGAGTCTGGACACCAGGGGCCTGGGGGGCCGTTTCCAAGGCGTCAGGCTCCCTGGAGATGATGCCTTGGCCTACCTCATGGTGACTTGAGGTGCTATGTATCGGGCAGGTGAGCGCAGAAGCTCATTTTGTTTATTTTTGGGATCCTTCTGGCAATGTAGATTCAACCACAAAGTTCGCAATTGCTTGTGTATTAGGAGTCGATCGAACACGTCTGGCTCTGGAAGTAATGGCACGGTGACAAGTGCAAGAACTAACTTTTTCAGCTCTGAGTATCTTACCTTCGTTCCTTGGTATGCCTTGCATACATAGTATACTGGCCTTTGGACTCCTTTATCCTCCTTGACAGGGGCGGAGCTCATAACAAAGGATGAGGATGAGAGGTAGATATATAAGGTTTCTCCTATTATAACATGGGAGAGTAAGGGGGTGTAATGAGGTAGGCCTTTAACTTTTGGAAGGCCTCCTCTGTGTCTGGTCCCCACTAGAAAGATTTGCATAGGATTTTAAAAAAGGGTAGACATTTATTTATTGATTTTGAGACAAATCTGCTGAAGGCTGCAGTCCTCCCATTAAGGCACTGGACCTCCTTTACGGAAACTGGAGACTTCGTTTCCAAAATAGCTCTGATCTTGTCTGGGTTGACCTCAATATCCATTTTGCTTACCATGAAACCTAGAAATTTTCTTAAACTAACGCCAAAGGCGCACTTTTCAGGGCTTAGCTTCATCTTGTAGGCTCTCAGGATGTCAAAAATCTCCTACATATGTGTCACGTGATCCACTGTAACCATAATTTTCACCAGAATGTCGTCCACCTAAACCTCCATAATTTTTTCGATTTGTGTCTCGAAAATCTTGTTTACGAGGCGCTGGTATGTGGCTCTAGCATTTTTGAGTTCGAAAGGCATCACTCTATAGTAATAGGTGCCTTTCAGAGTGATGAATGAAATTTTCTCCAAGTCTTGGGGAAACATGTTAATCTGGTTATACCTAGAGTAAGCATATAGAAAGCTCAGGAGCTCGTGTTCTGCAGTGGCATCAATAAGGATGTCGATGCGTGACAGGGGATAACTATCTTTGGGATAAGCTTTGTTGAGCTTCGTAATGTCCAAACAGAGGCAGCACTTCCCATTGGCTTTTGTTACCACCACCACGTTTGATAGTCAATCTGGGTAGGCTACCTCCTTTACTGACCCATTTGCCAACAGCTTTTCCACTTTCTTCTCAATGGCTTGACCTCTCTCGACACTTATATTCCTCAGCTTTTGGCAGACGGTTTTATAATTGGGGTCCACATTGAGCTGGTGGGTGACCACTTCAGGAATGATGCCCTCTAGGTCTTCGTGGGACCAGGCGAAGTTATTTATGTTCCGCCCGAGAAAATCTACAAGGTGGGATACTTACTCCTGAGAAAGTGAGGAGCCAATATAAATCCTCCCCTCTGGAAGGCTCTCATCTAGCTCTACTGGCTGAAGTTCTTCTGCTAGTTCTCATCTCTCTAAGTTATTGTCATCTTGAGGGTCAAGCACTTGGACTTGAAGGGTCTCGTGAGGCCTCCTTGCCCTCATAGAGGCCACGTTGCATTCCCTGGCGAAGACCTAATCTCCTTTGACTTCTCCGATCCTGCTGGGGGTTGAAAAATGAAGGAGCAGATGGTAAGTGTATGGTACTGCCCTTAGGGTGTTGAGTGCAAGGCGTCCCAGAATGATTTTGTAGGCAGAGGGACAATCCAGTACTATGAAGTTCACTATGATGGTGGAGCTCCTTGGCGTTGTCCCTGTTGTGACTGGCAAGGTGACGGAGCCCAAGGGATAAACCCTATCCCTCGAGAATCCAACAAAGGGTGTCCTGGTGTGTTGCAATCTTTTCCTGCTAAGGTGGAGGCTTTCAAAGGGTGGTGCGAACAGGATATCGGCTGAGCTGCCGTTGTCGACCAGAATTCTCTTAACTCGGTAGTTGGCTACCATCATGGTTAAGACTAGAGGATCATCATGGGGCACTTGGATTCCTTCGAGATCCCTATCTAAGAAGGAAATGACCTCTTTTTCTCCTAGTTGGGGTGTCTTTGTCGAGCGAGAGTCGTTCGACTCTGCCAGTCTGGCTTTCCTGGCGGAGTTGGAGTCGTCTCCTCTTCCTACTTCTCCAGAGATCGTCTTAATTTCTCCAAGGGGCTACTGTCGCTCTCTGTCCTCCAGATTTCTATCAAGCAATGGGGCTTGTCCTCTGCCAGCGACATACTACCGCAATTGCCCATGTTGAATAAACTCCTCGATCTGCCTCTTAAGCTCGAAGTAGTCATCAGTGTCATGGTCGTGATCGCGGTAGAAATGATAGTATTTGTTTGGAACAAGATGTGCTCCACCGAGGCATTGAGCGACATAAAGGCTTGTTGCTCCCTCAGAGGAGCTGGACTAAGACGGTCCTTGACAGAGACTCTCTTTATCCTTTTTCGTTTGTTCTCTACTTCTTGCTTGTCCTCGCAGGTGTCCTTTCGCTTCTCGGCCCCGCGAGAGGACTCTCTTTGCTTGGCTTTGGTGATGTCC